GCAACTTGAGGTACCTGCTTGATACAGATTCATGGATCGTCCTTTCTGGGGTTTGAACCTACAAAGTTTTAGATCTCCATCCAACCTACCCAAAGGCCTCACAGCGTCTCTGGTACTTCTCCACATGGTGCTGCAGTGGTGCCGGGTCACTCTGGCCCAGACGGTTAATGTCCAGTATGGCCAACAGATTATCCAGCTGGTAGTAGGAAGCGAAGGACATGGCCTCCCATACAGCCCCTTCCGACATTTCTCCATCCCCCAGCAGACAGTACACGTGATAACTGCAAAAGAGTCAAAAGACAATTACATTTTGTGAATCATTTCTGAAGGATCATGTGACACTGAAGACTGGACTAATGATGCTGAAAATTCAGCTTTGATCACAGGAATAACTTACATTTGAAAATATATTCAGTTCTTTTAAATTGTACTAATATTTCAAAATATTACTATTTTTACTGTTTTTTTGACCAGATAAATGCAGCCTTGGTGAGCAGAAGAGAAGCGCAAGTCTTTCCAACGCTTACACCTCATCACCGCCGCCCTTCTTAATACCACCTGACACATTCCTGTCACGCCAGATCTTTCATGAATGAGAAGAGAAAGGTTCAATAGACTAGAAATCAGCTGGGATTTGAGTAAAATTGCTCTTGCACAACACAGCAGGCATGATTCCTCTTTCTCTGCACAGCATCACTCACACAGATACAGATTATTTATTCATTGGCTTTTACAATGCATTATAAATAGAGAGTTAGCAAAGAAAGGACTGCACAAAAATTAGGTTTCAATTTGGGAATAATTTGTGTGCTTATGCCTATATTGAATTCTATCCAAGATATAAAAATAACCGGGTGATGGCCGCTGGGGCTTTGATTATTAGAGCAGAAGAATCGTGAAAGCACAGCTCGACAGGAAAACTCCACACCCTTCAAATCTGCAGCACACTCCCACACGGACACACAAACATGAGAGCATTCTGGTAAATACTTGTTCTGCATTTTGCATATTATATTTATGGTTTAAGCATCTGAGCACTAGGGTATTTTTTAAATCTGTTTTGCTTTTTAGAACATTCTTTGGTGTGTAATGTTGCTGTTTGAGCATGGAAAAGGTCTGCAAAGTAACAAAGCACAAATTCACTCCAAAAGGAGGTATTCTCTATATCAGTGTTTCTGAACTCCCTGAAACGCCTCGGTTGTAGTCTTGAATTTTCTTCTCAATATTCCTCAATTAAATAATTCCCGACCAAAGCATTCGCAAAAAAAGGGGCGAGGCCTGGTTGAGTTGCATTAGTAGTACGTTGAAACTCGCGGTAATGATAAGGGGCGTGGCATTTCCGAAAGGCGCTCGAAGCGGTTGACCAATCACAACACACTGATCCAGCCGACCAATCAGAGCACAATGCGCTTTATCGGAAGGAGGGGCTTCATGGAGACAGGAACTAAACAGAGCGTTACTGACAGACTGGGAAGAGAGGTGCTGCGAATGCGAAATAATGTTTTTTGAAACAATTTTTAACAATAAAACCCAAATCAAAAAGTCAAATCAAGACTTTGAAAAAGGGCCCCCTTTAAAATAGACCAAGTAAATTTGAGTTTGCTTGAATCGCAAGCTATGAAGCTGTTTGTTTTACTGTAGAGCTAAAATATGCAGTCATCATTAACGTGTGGGTTTATGGGTAACATTCTTACCTGGATTTGTCAAAGTATTTCGCTGAATAGGCCATTCCACAGGCTACACCCAGCCCCTGTCCCAGAGAGCCTGTGGCCACATCCACAAACTGCTGCTTCTGTCAAACACACACTTACACACTCATTTCAATGTTACATAGAATAACAGCTCATTTGTTAATCATGCGTTTGCAGCCAGTTTAACCTGAACAATCATTTATGACTTAATGAACTACGATATTTCTCACGGTGCTTCTAAATAGTTTCTGCTCTGAGAGCAGGCAACTTTCATATAATTTTGATTGAATATGTTTAAGAAGAGCATCTTATCTTGATGAGTGTGTGAGTGTGTGTGTGTGTGTGTGTGTGTGTGTGTGTGTGTGTGTGTGTGTGTGTGTGTGTGTGTGTGTGTGTGTGTGTGTGTGTGTGTGTGTGTGTGTGTGTGTGTGTGTGTGTGTGTGTGTGTGTGTGTGTTACTCACGGGTGTGGGGTGTCCCTCCAGAGTTGAGTTGACCTGACACATGCTCATGAGCTCAGACTCTTTCAGGAAGCCGATCTCCACCCACACAGAGTAAAGGATAGGAGCCGCATGACCCTGTGGACGAAAGAAAAAAAGAATCTATGGATTAATTACAATACCACCATTATGCAATTATCAAACAATTACTTAACATTTTTTTAAAAACTGATAAACATATTTAGCATGGGCCTGTATTATTATATTATATTATCTTATTATTATATTATGTTACACTATTTTTGGGGATTTTATTATTTATGTTATATTATATTATTTATATTACCACCATTATGCAATTATCAAACAATTACTTAATAAAAAAAAACTGTTTAACAACTGATAAATATATTTAGCATAGCCCTGTATTATTTTATTGTATTATATGGATTTTTTATCTTGTATTATATGTTTTATATTTAATTTAATTTATATTACCACCATTATGCAATTATCCAACAATTACTAACCAACTTTAAAAAACTGTTTAAAAACTGATATTATTATATATTATATTATTTTTGTATTATATTATATTTATTCATATTTTATTATATATTATATAATAGGCTTATTATATCTACTTTTTCACTCATTTTCATGGAACTCATAGTACAATTATTGAACTATGATATCATATACAATTATATTTATTATAGTTTAATTTTGGTAAGTCATGGCTAATAAGATCAATGTGTATTTTTGTCATATAATTATAATACCATGGTATTCGTCAATGTACCTTGGAGTATAATGTAAAATTCCATTTGTATATGGATATGTTAATAATTCAGTAGCACTATTTCAAAGTGCAATGGTTTCACCATCACTGTACCATAATATTGGCACTGGCACAGGACTTTTTATAAGGAGATTTAGCACCAAATAATGTAATTCTCCTGACTTACTGTCATCTTGGTTTAAACTTGAAATATCAAACCTGACACTTGAATAATCCCAGTTAGCCGAGTCTCTTCTCTTATAACCTCACCTTGGACAGGATAAAGCGGTCATTATTGGGGTTCTTGGGGTCATCTGGCCTGTACTTCATAGTATGGAAGAAAAGCACAGACATGATCTCTGCCACACTGCAGCATGATGTTGGATGCCTGGCCAGTAAAATGGGAAAGACTCTGAAGGTTAGGATATGGTGAAGAGGAGGTAGTTTCATATTTAACTAATCATTTAGACATTTTTATGGTTTATTATGTAACATTCACTTAAAAGAATTATCTCACACACACAAAAAATAATAATAATAATAATAATTGGGCTTGTCGGGTTTGAATAAGACAATTAGTGACTTTCTATCCAAAAGAATGCCAAAGGTGACGTTTAATCCAGGATGCCCCACCGGCACCACACTTATGGCATAATCTAAAGCTTTGAGCAATCATACCACCCACTAACACCCATCTGCTTCTAGATTAGGTCCAAGACAGCACTAAAAACCACATGCTGTGGCTGTGAAACAGACTCGGCATCGGATCAAATCTTCACCTGTCAAAGCAGTGTTTTAAAATGCAATTTAATGTTATGCTCAGATATCAGATATGAATTACTGCGCCAGTTGGATTCATGCGGCAATTTACATAACAGCTCAGCTGTGCCATTAGAAAACATACTTTGCCTAGAGGAAAGAACACATGTGTATGAAACAATGGTCATAAAAAACAATAATCATCTTCATGCACCCGTCTTATAAACTTGTAAATTAACGAAGTTTCTGTTTCCATTTCAAAACCATACATTTATGTTTTTTTAATAATTACAGACGATTTCTCGTCTTAAGAATGGAAAAAACAGATGCTAATGTTTTCTTTATAAATAGAATGGAATACAGAAAATGAGCCAAACTAAAATGCTGTAAAAAATATTATTCATAATAATAATAATAAAATCGACCCCATAGTTGCTGTTAAAAACTGGTAAAATAAAGTAAAATGGTTCAAATAAATTGCATTTTTAAGCTCACTTTAAACATGCCGCAATGCACATATTAATACAAAAAATAAACAAAAAAACAAAACAAAATCCAGACTAAATTTTCATTTGTCTTTTTTTTAGCAGCATCATCTCACCATCTGTCTACTTAGGTTTTGAGGACAAAGATTATGTCTTGCATAAGGGTGTGCATGCAAGAGTGTGTTTGCTTACACTAACAGTCTATCTATCTATCTATCTATCTATCTATCTATCTATCTATCTATCTATCTATCTATCTATCTATCTATCTATCTGTCTGTCTGTCTGTCTGTCTATCTATCTATTGTTCTTTCTTTCTTTCTTTCTGTCTATCTGTCTGTTCAAATAAGTCAGATTAAAAAAGCATGCAGGTATTTGCAGAAAGTGTGCCAACTCTTACCCGTTGCCCACTGCGGTGGTGGCTTTGATAGAGTTGATTCGGAGGCGGTTGGCAATGTTTCTCAGCGCCTGCACGGTCTGCTGGTCTGGTTTGTGGTAGTCCTCCATGGGTTCAGCCTAATAGCACCACAGAATGAAAGGAGAGAATGAGGTTGAGGAGAGCACTGGTTGCGTGTCTGTGAGAGATAGAAAAAGGAGGTGGAGAGGAGAGGGAGGCTGCTTTATGCCAGCGCACATACACACACTTTATAGTGTGCAACAGGTCGAGAGGCAATGGGCATTGGCTGTGACAGAGAAAGTGGGTGTGTGCCGAGAGGAGAGAGGTTGAGAGATACAGAGAGAGAGAGAGAGAGAGAGAGAGAGCGAGTAAAGAGGCGGAATCCCTCATTGTGACCTTTGACTGCTGGATCTAAACTCATTACCAGATTAAAGATGCACCTCAGTCCATTGAGATTTTAAAGCATGTGTGCGTGTTTGGGTTTAATTAGCTATGGTTTAGGGATAAAATTGTGCCCATAACTTAGTCAAATGTGACAAAACTTAAATAAATATATATATATAAAAACAATAGAAGGCTGTGGTATATCCTCAATTAGGATTATTAAAATACATGCAGATTGATTTTATGTACTTCTAGACTAAGAATTTATGGATTTTTTTTATTTATTTATGTTTTTTTTAAAAGATTTATCGCTAACAATTTACACTAAGGTCTCATTTGTTAATGTTAGTTAAATGCATTAGCTAAAATGAGCTATCAATTAACAATCAATTTACATCTATTTAGCATTTATTAATCTTTTGTTAGTGCTAGTTAAAAATACAATTCTTTGTTGTTTGTTCATGTTAGTTCAAAATGCATTAACGAATAACAACAAATGCAACTTTTAATTTTAACAAAAAATGTTAGTAAATGTTGAAATTTACATTATCCGAGATTAATAAATGCTAGTGATTGTTAGTTCATGTTAGCAAATGTAGTTAACTAAAGTTAACAAATGAAACCTTAACGTGAAGTGTGATTTATGATAGCCAATATCTTACATTCATAATCTATATGTCTATTGTTAATGTTAAAGGGGCTATAGGCTATGTACAAATATTCATGTTTTAAGCGTATTTTGTTGCCAATGTGTGAACAACTTGCAAAGAAACTTAAAAAACGAGACCAATATAAAGCCAGTAGATTGATTTTTAAGGACTCGGGAGTCGGGACGTTTTTTCCGGGAAAATCTAAAGGATTTGACATTTAAGCGCGCTCCCGAAAGCCCCCGTTTTGACCATAGACTAGCTGTAACAAAATTGCTTTTGACACAATGTTCAGTTTAATGCCGAAAGACCAATTCTGTACTGTAATGTCAATGTGACGTGAGGTGGTTATACGGGTTAATTCAAACTATATAACATTGCCAGATCTGGTCTCAAATGCTACTTTATCATTAAAATGTAATAACAGTAGCCTATAATTTTATCGACTAATCTGTCGACATGATACCGGTGAATTGTAGAGCTGGTGCAAACATATACAGTACACATCATAATCAGATGCTTGCTCAATTAACTGCTGCTTTCTCACCGCTGACATTTTTGTCGTGTGTTACTGTAATTACTGAGAGGAAAGCTCCATCCCTCTCAGCGTGGACGGCGTCAGGATGTTCGTCAACAGGATTGCTGCAAACTGTGCAAAGGTATTTCCAACTTCTTTTTACTTCTAAGCAAAGAACAAAAAAACAAAAAATCCCGTTCAGTCTCCTTCTCTTATAGGTTACGCGTGCACGAGTGCTAGGCGAGCACGAGCAATCATTTCTGGCTGCAGTTCACTTAACGCACTTAATCCTATACACCTTTAATTTATTCTATCTTTTTCTTTTTTCTTTTTTTTTACTATTGCAAACAGTAAAAGAATTTGATGATTAAGTTATTTAAAAAATATATATATTTTATATAGGTTACTTTTTTATTTTAACATATAACTCTAAAATCATGTGCAATAAAAAGTGTGCACTCCATTAAACTTTAAACATTTGGTTTTCCAAAGGTTTTATTATTTATATCTGTATAAGTTGCTGGCAGCTAAAAAAGATGCATAATATATCATCACTGTAAATGTCTCATTACTGATGTGCAGAGGCTGGTTTCTATTGGACAGATGTTCTCTGTTCTATGTATTGTTCAATGCTGATTATTGCTAAATAAGTATATTAGTCTATTCATTTAGTTAAATAAGATGAACGTTGAAGAATTGCATTGCCATCTGATGGAATTTGGAGAAATTGCAATGGAAAAAATAGTGGGATGGGTTGGGAGAGAGAGAGAGAGAGAGAGAGAGAGAGAGAGAGAGAGAGAGAGAGAGAGAGAGAGAGAGAGAGAGAGAGAGAGAGAGAGAGAGAGAGAGAGAGAGAGAGAGAGAGAGAGGAAATCCACTACTGTCTATGTGTGTAATACAGCATGTCTAATGGATGTCAAATGGCTGTTGCGGCTCTGCTCAGGGATTAGAGACCTTTCCATCTGCAGCCAGTACATGGTACAATCTAGAATAATCCACTGACTCATATTAGACGGGGAGGAGAAAACGTTCATCATTTCTGTTGGGGAACATTTTTGATGTGTTTTGAGAGAGTTTTTGTACAAACACAAATATAATCTGCAATCTATGAGTCCAAAATTAGAAATAAATGCAGAAAACTAAAAATGTTCTATTGGCCTTTATGAATAAATTAAATACAAGGTACATACAATTATATAACCATACATTAACATACATACATACATTAACATAACCACCATGACATGCTAAAACTACAATATATGTAGGCCTACAACATTGCCTGCAATATTTTCTATTCTTACTTTCTATTAAATTTACACTGTATCCTTTTTTTTACCATAGATGTATAAACCTGAAGAGAAACAATATAATAAAATAAAAAAATAAAGTAATAAACTAAAGAGCCATTAATCTCATTATTAAAGACCAGTTGTTAGAAATAGGATAAAACTACAATAATGTCCAATTATGTAACTTATTTATTTTGTTATAATAATTTATTTTAAATTATACATATACGTGTGTGTGTGTGTGTGTGTGTGTGTGTGCGTGTGTGTGTGTGTGTGTGTGTGACTATAGTAAGTACTAAGTAGATTATGCAAATTATAATTTAAAAATAAACACAAACACTGGACTTTTAGGTAATGATGTAAATATTAATTAATTTTGATTTAATTTAGTTGAAAAAAATTATAACACCATGGTAAAATGGCTATCACTTGCATGGTAGCTATATATAGCTATAATGGTACGCAATAATTACCATATTCGTAAATCATGTCCTTCAAAAACATTTTTAAGGTAGCGCGATACTGTCATGGCGCAAAAACCTAATTTATGATGCTGAATGTCTATGTTGTTCATTCTCTGTCTTGTCTAGTCTAGTACCAGTGTCCATCTGTCAGAGAACACTACAGATCTTATTCACAGCAGTGCCAACTTTGATTTTTAACGGGAATGAAAGGGATATGCATTAAACATAGCCTACATTCAGTGGGTTTTACTGTTATTTACAGTTTTTTTCAATCGCTAACAAGCGCTTACCCATACTTCAGCTACTTTTTCTAAACTCTTAACACAGACCCACACCTACAAAACACAATTGGCCAAATGGATAATTTTCTTCTCAAAAACACATTTTGTTAAATATATGCTAACTCTTCATTTCAAAATAGAACACATCTTTCTCTGCAAACACTAACTTTACCAAAACACTGGAAATCTGACTCAAAATAAAATTATTCTGTCAAAGAATAACACTTGTTTTCACTTCACAAGGTACATGCAGTCAATCAAAGTACACCAGGTTTCAAAATACTGGCTATTGTTGACATTACAAAAACCGCAAAGACTTTTATGTTTCAGTTTTACAGGTATTTGCATGCAAAACGCACAATCCACCATTTTTACACTAAATTTCTTGGTTGGGAACTGTATGTCCACATGTACAGTAATGTTCACATTCAAAAGCATTCCACTAAAAAGCAAATCAGGTTTTTTTCACCTCTCACTGCACCTCTCACTGCATCTCTCATTGCACCTCTCACTGCATCTCTCACTGCACCTCTCACTGCATCTCTCACTGCACCTCTCACTGCATCTCTCACTGCATCTCTCACTGCATCTCTCACTGCATCTCTCACTCCATCTCTCTCTCACTGCACCTGCATCTCTCACTGCATCTCTCTGCACCTGCGTCTCTCACTGCATTTCTCACTGCATCTCTCTGCACCTGCATCTCTGCACCTGCATCTCTCACTGCATCTCTCACTGCATCTCTCACTGCATCTCTAACTGCATCTCTCACTGCACCTCTCACTGCATCTCTCACTGCATCTCTCACTGCATCTCTCTGCACCTGCATCTCTCACTGCATCACTCACTGCACCTCTCACTGCATCTCTCACTGCATCTCTCACTGCACCTCTCACTGCATCTCTCACTCCATCTCTCTCTCACTGCACCTGCATCTCTCACTGCACCTCTCACTGCATCTCTCACTGCATCTCTCACTCCATCTCTCTCTCACTGCACCTGCATCTCTCACTGCATCTCTCACTGCATCTCTCACTGCACCTCTCACTGCATCTCTCACTCCATCTCTCTCTCACTGCACCTGCATCTCTCACTGCACCTCTCACTGCATCTCTCACTGCATCTCTCACTGCATCTCTCTCTCACTGCACCTGCATCTCTCACTGCATCTCTCACTGCATCTCTCACTGCATCTCTAACTGCATCTCTCACTGCACCTCTCACTGCATCTCTCACTACATCTCTCACTGCATCTCTCACTGCACTTCTCACTGCATCTCTCACTGCATCTCTCACTCCATCTCTCTCTCTCACTGCATCTCTCACTGCATCACTCACTGCACCTCTCACTGCATCTCTCACTGCATCTCTCACTGCACCTCTCACTGCATCTCTCACTCCATCTCTCTCTCACTGCACCTGCATCTCTCACTGCACCTCTCACTGCATCTCTCACTGCATCTCTCACTCCATCTCTCTCTCACTGCACCTGCATCTCTCACTGCATCTCTCACTGCATCTCTCACTGCATCTCTCACTGCATCTCTCACTCCATCTCTCTCTCACTGCACCTGCATCTCTCACTGCACCTCTCACTGCATCTCTCACTGCATCTCTCACTCCATCTCTCTCTCACTG